CATAATTTCGATCCGAACCCTTTTATATAATTTTATTTAGATTGATCTGATTCCATGTACCATGCCATTTTGGATATTTCAGTTTCAGTTAATTTCCTTTAGTAGCTCAACTCTCTAAGTTTTTTTTTCTCCCTCTGCTGTGGCCAAGTACTGAACTCACAATTCTTTGGGTCAAGTCACTCTTTGGATTACTCAACCTACGCCTTTATTTACTGGGACATGTGGACTAAATAAAAGGTTCGGTTTGAAATTCCAACGTATATCACCTGAAGAAGGTCGGAGAGCACAACGGAATATATCGTGAATATAACAATAAAGATGAGGACAACAGTCCGAATGATGTAAATAGCGTAAATAGTTACAATAGCTGAATAGATGATTATGCTATTATTTTCTCTTCGAGTTACATGTGCTTTTCATTTTAATTGTTGCTACTGTTGAAAGTCCTCAAATGATGTGGTTTCTGTTATTTGGTACAGATCTTCGTTTTGGATCATTCAGCACCAGTCCACGAGATCTGAAGAAGGACAACCATCGCTGAAACCTTCGCTTGAAACCATTTTAACCAGTGAATTGAGAAAGCGTTTTTGTACAGCTGACTGAACGGGTTTGGCGCCATACTTATGAAAGTCTCGATCTGACACAGCTATAAAAAACATGACATGAATTTTTAGTTTAATGTTTTGGTTTTGTAGCAATGTGCGGTGTTGTGCGAAACTACCACTAGTGCAGGTTATTCTATGTTCAATTTCCTTATCCCTTGGTCTAAATTCGTTCTGATTCAAACACCGAGGTTTTAGAAGTGTTTAGTATTTACTAATTCCACATTCTGAAATTGTATGATTAATTCAGGGTATGTACGCTTGCAAGGCCTGGAATTTATATCGTCGGGATATAAAAGGTCTGGGGTGGCTCCAGCAAACGAATCTCCGAAGAATCTTTAGCATCAGTTGGGAGGACCGCATCACCACCAATTCGGACATCTTTCCAGCATCAAGGCTACGGTCCTTCAATATCGTCTCCGCTGGGAGGATCACGTATCCAGAATACGCACCACTCGACTCCCACGTATCATCCTATGTGAAGAACTTGTCAGCGACAAGAGGCTACGCGGAGATCCAAAACGACGCTTCAAGGATCAGTTGAAGAAATCCCCGACACAGGCCAATATCGACCCTGAGACCTAAGAAACCGTTGTTGCAAATCGGTCTTCCTGGCGTAGAACCATTCGAGTGGGTACCGAGATTTTCGAGTCCAACCGAAGAGGATCTGCGACATGCTGTCAGGAGGGACCGATTCGCCCAGCCACGTCCAACACCCACACTCCTCTGTGAATCCTGTTCACCAATCTTCAGGAATAGGCAGGACCTTAACAGCCATCTCCGCCACCGACACCAGAGGGGAGAAAGAGAATAAGGAGAGAGGGTGACGATTCCGGTGTTCGAAAGCGAGCGGCTGCCGACTGTTAATGTACCTTTATTGCTTTCATACCAATTCTGGATCATCGTTTCTGTGTTGGAACCGTTTCTCTAGAGTCCTCTTCGTTGGAACACTTGGTAGAGGATGTAGATTATTTTTAAATAAGAAGGCAGGTAATAAAGACTTATGTATGAACGTAAAACTACTTGCACAACATTATAAAAATGAACTAACTGCTTAAGGCAGTTGTAAATCTACTACTGTAGTAGCCATTGAAGATAAAGTAAAGCGTCCAGATATCAAGTTTTAAGGGAGATTGTTTTTCGCAACATGAAAAATTGGTGTTTGAATTTCGCACGAATCGATGTATCTTTTAAACCGGATAAATGTTATATTAATACGAGGGGTTGTTGAAAAATGTTCGACTGGGTTAAATCAAAAATAAAAATGATACTTGTTTAGACAGACTTCAAAATGTGAGTCTGGCTGAAAACGTTCCATTACTTCTTCCTAAACATATACATTACGATACTGAAGTTCTCAGTCCGACCAAGATATATATATATATATATATATATATATATATATATATATATATATATATATATATATATGAGTTGGGATCAAATATACATCAGATATGAACCTGATCCGACAGAATTATCAGATATAGAACAAATAGAAAATTTTTATCAATCTTACATTAGATTGATAAATCTTTCTTATTTGTTCTTTATCTATCTATCTATCTATCTATCTATCTATATATATATATATATATATATATATACATATATGTATATATGTGTGTGTATATATATATATATATATATATATATATATATATATATATATATAGAGAGAGAGAGAGAGAGAGAGAGAGAGTTCCCACGACACAAATTCTGCTGTTTTCTCAATTGGTAATGTTTGGGGATTAGGTCTAGTCTAGAAATTCTCAGCGCTTCCTCATAAATACATACATTTCGTTTTCTTTTAGATTCTCACTCAGGAGGCACTTGGCACCCGAAAATGAATTTTCCAATTTGAAACCTTTTATAAAAGTTTTCTTTTTTTTTTTTGAAAGTTGGTGACAAGATCTTTAATTTACTAATGTTATCGATTTTCTTTCAAGTTTAGAATATAAGGTTAAATTTTCTTTTTGATTTAAAAAAAAAAACAAAACAAAAAATAACATATTATCAGAAGACGGAAGATGCATTGGGATAGCGAAAGATGCCTTCCAAAAGCTAAGCAAAGTATCAAAAAAGCAGAAAAATCTCGTTAGAAACAAAGAAAAGAATGCTGAACAGTTATTTAATATCAGTCCTCTTATATAGCAGTGGATACTGAATAATCTCCGTGCAGATGAAAAAGGAACTTGGCACGATAAATATGTTATTGTCATTATTTACATTGTTCGGACCGTTGTCCTCATTGTTATTGCCAAACTCATAACGTTCCGGCCTTCTTCAGGTGAATGGAATTTCAAAATGAACCCTTTATTTCGTCCTTCAGTGTAGATTGTTATAGTTCCACGTGGTTCTAAGTTATCTCCCCTTAACTGAACTCTCCAAATTTTTGTTCACCACTGCAGTAGCCAGGTATTGAACTCACAACACTTTGGTTCAAGTCACTGGATCCAAACAACGCTTTTATCCAAAAATATGTTGTTCTACAGAAGGATACTATGGATTGAACATGTGAGCAACAACAAAGTTTTAGAGAAAACAGGAACAAAAAGAACATTTATACTTAGCATCAGAAAGAGACAATTGAAATTTCTAGGATACATAACGAGGAAAGAGGACTTGGAAAATCTGACACTCACAGGACACATTGAAGGCAAGATAGACATACGAAAATAGTGCATAACCTAAACGAGCCTGTGTATATGCACGACAGAACAGGGTTTAGAAAAGCTAATAAAAAGACAAAATTTACTAAGCTGCAAAGGACAGGAAATTGTGGAGAGCTAGGTGCGCCAACGTCCCGAAGGTTCACGGCATGTAGAAGAATATATCTTAAAGACGAAGAAGATATTAAGAAATAAAAAAAATCTCATTAAAAATAAAAGAAAAAAAATACTGAACAGTTATGTAATATCAGTCCTTCTATATGGCAGTTAGTGCTGGACAATTTCCTCCCAGATGAAGAGGAGAATTGGTGAAACAGAGATGTGGTTCTAAAGGAGGATGCCGGACGGAACAGGCAAGCAACGAGGAAGTTTCAAAGAAAACAGAAAATAAATGACGGCTAGAGCCGAGTTCGAATTCCAGTCGAATCCATTACATTCAGTTACGTGCTAATATGCTTGGGAAAGGTATGAATACTTTCACTGCCAGCTATGAGTAAATAGCAGAAAGGGCCGGGTTCTATAGCATTGGATGGCAATTGAACTACTGCAGGAAGAAATGGCAACCTACTACGGGGAAAAATCTGCCTCGTCAGTCATGTATCGAAAGATACATGATCGCCTAATCGTGCATCACGCATGACACATAACTGACTGACATAAGTTAATGGAATGAATGCAAAAGAAATTCAAACTTGACTCTCCGATTTCTAAATCCGATCTACAATTCAAGTGACAGCAATTCCAAAAGAGAGCCTTGCAAAGTGTTTTGTGGGTAAATAGCAGAACACACCGGCATTATTGCAAGCCCCTCTTTTCTTTCGCTTAGGCGATCATTTATCTTTCGATACATGACTGACGAGGCAGATTATTCCCGCGGTAGGTTGCCATTTATTTCTGCCGTATTATTGTAACAGTGCTCGATGTTATATAACAGAACTATAAAGTAGTTTCATGCCAAACTCAATCTTCAGATGCTGAATGGCACCTGAAACTGTGAGATAATATATATATATATATATATATATATATATATATATATATATATATATATATATATATATATATATTCTACTTCCACACCTATTTATCGGTAAATAGCAGGACAGACCAGATTCTAAGGCCTTGGATGGCAACTGGTCTACGGCAGAAATAAATGGCAACCTACTGCGGGAAAAATTTGCCTCGTCAGTCATGTATCGAAAGATAAATGATCGCCTAAGCGTCTATCACGTATGGCAGTTAACTGACTGACTGATATTTGAATCAGAAAAAGACAACAGAAATTTATGAGACAGATAACGGGGAAATAGCGCTTGTTTTTTTTGTTTTTTTAACACTCCCGGGTCATATTGTAGGCAAGAAAGGAAGAGAGAATGGTTGTTGTTGATATGCTTTTTACGGTTTATCAACCTTTTATAGGTTATTTAAAGCCGATACATAGTTTGGATTGTACACGGTTGCTTACACTACCCGATGTTCTTAACCCTTTCAGCACTGAACAACGCTTTCCCGATGATAGAGAAAATGCCGTAATGCCCAGCCACCAGCTGAACAGTGGTAGAGAAAAATGACTTAATTCCTAGCCACCAGTTAAACTGTGGGTAAACTCTTGTAACTATTTTTTATATCTACCGTGAAACATAACATACCAATTATTTGCGAATTTTGACTCAGGAGCTCAGGCAGAAGGGTTAAAATTGTTCAGGAACGCGGGATTCAAAGGCTTAAGTCGTCACCCATCTATGTACTGACCAGGCTTGACCCTGTTTAACTTCCATGATCAAACGAGAACCAGTGTTTTCAGCCTGGTTTGACGTAAGCGGTAAGAGTGGAACCTCCTGTATTCTACACAACAAGTTTGTGCAAGTGGATGTCAGAAAGGAAATTGGTGGGAAACTAAAAGCCAAACATTGCTAAGTGTTAGAAAAGATAGGTATTTTTGGAGAGCCATGATTGCCCACGTCTTGAAGGGACACAGGAAATAAAAGAAGAAAACGATTCCAAAGGGAACTGTAGTAGTTTAATAATAATCGCTTCACATGTTGCAATATTTCTATCATATCAGCATTTCTTTCTCATAACGTTTTAATTTTCATTGCTTGGAGTTCGCTATTGTTAAAGATAAAGGATTTTTACACTATTTACATTATTCGGACTATTGTCCTCATCTTTGTCGCCATATTTATCACAACGTTTCGACCGTTGTACGCCCCAGCCTTCTTCAGGTGGTTGGAATGTCGAAGTGAACACTTTATTTCGCTCACTGGGGTAGACTGTTCTAGTTCCACGTGCCATGTTTAATAGATGTCAGTTATCAGTTATTTCCTTGTATTAAGTTCTCCACTGCCTTAACCAGGTATTGAACTCACACTCTTTGTGTCCTGTCACTGGATCTAACCAACGTCTTTATCCACTGTTCCATGTGTCCTTGAGGAAGGAATAATGTAAATATTGTGCATAATACCTCATCACAGAAATATAAACAGATACTGAAGGATCGGTACGGCCCCGATACACTGTGTGATAAACATGGCGACAAAGATGAGGACAATAGTCCGAATAATGTAAATAGTGTACATAATACCTCATCTCAGAAATATAGACAGATATTAAAGGTTTTTTGTCTCCATTTGATGATGGACATTTCTACGAAATTAACATTATTTATCTATGTTTATTAAACATCTACTTTTTCAACCCACCGAATACAAAATATTATCCATTTTTATGTTGGTTGGTGGACTGGTCTTGTTTAGCAGCATATCAACCTACATGGATTATTTAATACCGAAATCACCTTTCCCAACGTGCTAATACCCTTAGGAAAGGTATGAATCCTCGTTTTCTCCGCCTCGCCACCTATGGGTAAATAGCAGGGGAGACCGGATTTTATAGCCTTGGATGGCAACTGGTCTACCACAGAAAGAAATGGCAAGCTACTGCGAGAAAAAAATCTGCCTCGTCAGTCATGTATCAAAAGATACATGATCGCCTAAGCAAATAAGGGACTGAAAATCTAAATATTTTGCACACAATTTTATGGATTCAACTAAATATATTTCGTACGTAATTGTATGCATTCAACTACAAAAACATGGTCATTTTTCTATGAAATATATATTTGGAAATTCCATTATAAAAATGTATTGCTGGTCATTTTGCTTTAAAAAATCGGTATTGTTGGTAATTTTACTATAAATAAGTATTTTTTTATATAAAATGTATTTCTGGTATTTTTACTATGAAAAATGCATTTATTCTTTCATAATGTTTTGTTTTTGTTTCGGGGTTCACTGTTTGTCCATAGCTATGACCCTAAAAGATGCTACCACCTCAGGTTAGGATGAACCCGGTAACAACGAGTATTTACAGGTGGTTCCTGAAAACCTCTAATCTCCCGATCAGAGGCCTTGCTGCCGAGTGTAGTTTATCGTCAGACCCAGGACTATGCCGTTTTTTTTTGTGTGCTGAGATATATTTGTAACAGTATTACTTTTAATACACATTATTCTGGTATGCATCTCACAGAAACCATGCTACAATAGCTTTTGTATTCAACCAGAGGATCGAAAAAGCCAGGTACAGGGTTGATGTAGAAGAGGTGGGGGGGGGTTCATGGCCGCCGAATGTAGAATAACGTGACCGGAACAGTTGAACCTTGGTTGCAAGGGGATGAACGAGCCTCGTGACTGATCTATGTATATAAACGCCAAATGCAGATACGAGTTGAGCTGTCTCTCTCAGACTTTACCCAGGAACGTCAGGCACATATTTAGTGGGTGGGGTTCCAGGACCGCACACATGCATATGGGTCAACGGGAATTACTGGAGTGAAAGAAAATATAATGTTAAATATAAGAGATTAAGTCATGTGTTACCATTTAGTTGAGACGGCGGCATCATTGCGATATTTATAGGTAACATCTTACAATATATATATATATATATATATATAAAGACATATTTTATGTTTAACGTTGTTATTTTATAGATACAAGTATTTAAGCAAATGCTCTGTTTATGATAAACAGTATTAAATAACATTTACCGGCCTGAATGTCCGAGAAATTTTCATAGAAAATTTTCGTTCTTTGACAGGATTCGAACCTGCATCCTATACGGAACCGTCATATATGCTGACGTGCCTTACCGCTTAGGCTACAAAGAAGCGTTCGGTAGACAAGGTCGAATTTACTGCTTATAAACTCCAATTTAAATGTTATTTTAATGTTATTTAATACTGTTTATCATAAACAGAGCATTTGCTTAAATACTTGTATCTATAAAATAACAACGTTAAACATAAAATATGTCTTTAATAAATAAATTGTCGGACCTTGTCCATTTCTTAATATATATATATATATTACGATAAACGTGCAATCAATTTACAAATTCATGGATTATTACACAAAAACAAATGCAAAGGTTAATGATTTAATTAGCGAGAAATCCATCATCGCAAACAATTCAAATAATATACAAAAACCTCCGAATCCGTTATGAATGAAATGATCCTTGTTTCCATAAATTTCTGCTGTATTAGTTCTTATTTTTACTACAAGCTTTCGTCTGTTCCTACAGACATCTTCAGGTTTAGAATAGATGTTGCTCTTGTTTTTTCTCTTAGTACTAAGTATAATATGTATTATTGTATCCGAAAATGCTATTGAAAATGAGTTGTTGTTTTTGGAGCGCGCAGTAGCAACGCTGAGTTTGATTTTAAATTTTTAAAGGTTGTGCGTTCATATAAAATAAGGTGATGAACGAATTTTTTACTGGTAAATTTTCTGTCAAAGTGGCATGAACTATATTGTTCAATAATTACAGTAATGTCGCACTTATTATCCAAAAGTCGCACTTGGATCAGTTATCTTCAGCGCTATAATAAAATCACATGTGCTGGTGTCTGGCAGTCGGTTACGAGGAACTGAGCCGCTTGACCCTCATACGACGGTATAGTTCTCCATATATATATATATATATATATATATATATATATATATATATATATATATAATTATAATTGAATGGCAAACGGTAAAAAACTCCACGCGACCTTAGAAGAAATTTCTTCAGACTAATAATTTCTCTTCGAAAAGCGTTACGGCGGAGTTTTTTCTTTTTTTCATATAGTTACCCATTATTAGGCAGATATATAGATGCATATTATATATATATATATATATATAATTCCAGGAGGATAGAATCCAGGTAGAACTCAATGTCCAGGACAGAGTAAGGATATAATAAAAAGGCTTAGACACTAATATTCCATGGTCATAATTTATTCCACTGGAATTGTAAATACGATCCAATTCATCAGACCTACAAATTAAAAAAAAAATGATGAATTGGATCGTATTTACGATTCCAATGGAATAAATTATGACCATAGAATATTAGTGTTTAAGCTTTTAATATATTTTATATATATATATATATATATATATATATATATATATATATATATATATATAAAGTGACAGAAATTTAGCGGGGGATTTGAATAATCATTCGTAGTAATTGATAGATTCAATAAGAATACTCAGCGGAATGCAAAAAGCACTGGACGGCCGTTTCACCTTATTTGGTCTCATCAGCTGTGGGCATCCACGAACTCACTACAAAACAAGGAGAGACAGAAGTCCATATAAACATATGACTGTAATGCTTTAGTTTTTGAGTTATTGATTTTAAAGAATGTTTACGGTATATGGTGCTGTATTGGCATTCCTAATGTCAAAATTGTGTTCCGTTTTGTTACGGCGAACAATGTGTTGTTAAAACAAAAAAAACAAAAAAAAACACAAAACGCATTGATTGTTCGCCATAACAAAACGAACCACATTCTCCACATAGAACATGCTACTTTGATTAAAAGAGAAAATAATTCACTAAGATGAAAATGTCTGGAAAGTGCCTTGATCGCTAGTTCAGCCACAATAAATTTGCGTCCAGGCTCTTACAATATATTACCATTTTGATAGATTTTATATTGTCACAATGTGAGATAGTCAGGAACAAAAATGATGGAGAGAAAAAGAAAAAGAATAGATGATTTCGGCTAGATTGAGAAAAAAGAAATATTCTCTCAAAAATATTCTTTCAAAAATATTGAAACTACCTGCGTCTCTCTTTTCGTGCGCATGTGCAGACGTGGCAACGCCAATAAAGCCAAGTCCGATGAAATCCTAAGGATGAAACACGTCACAAAAGCACATTTCCAGTTTATCATATTTTTCTCAATGAACACAAAATGATCAGCTTTAAAAAAGGACTCGTAAATGGAAAAAACCGAATGAAAAAAGAATGTTAGTACAAATACTTTTTCACACCCAACCCAGTTCTGCGGAATCAGAATCAACGTTGAGTTTAAGCAAGCGAATGAGCCAATTGGAGTAAAGTGTCATGCAGATTTAATTTTTTCCCACTTGTGACGAATGCAGCTATCGATTTTTTTGCATGCTAGCATGCTAGTTAACATTCGTGTCAGTCAGCTGTTGGCTCACACGCTGGCCAATAGAATCTTCCTGCCTATTCGTGGCAGCCAGCTATAGGCTCTCGCTCTGGTCAGTAGAAAATGGCCGCAAACTACATGAAAACTGCCGTAGAAGCATGAAAAATCGATTATTTCCACTATCGATGGGAGTTGAGAAATGTAAAGTCGGTCTTGGCCTTCTCGCTAACTTGGAGCATGTGCATGTAAATTTTGGTGCAAATCCATCGAAAATTACGGCCGTGCATTCGTTATACACACACACACATCCTATATTATATATATATATATATATATATATATATATATATATAT